CCTGTGGAGATTAGACAGTAAGAAGAAGAAGAGGATTATAACAAACAAATATTGATCTAGACTGTTTATAAACCAAAGTAAAATTGCAGTAAGGAAAATCATTTGCCATACAATTTTTAACTATAAATTTGATATTATTCTCTCCCTTTATTATTGACCAAATTATATCTGAGAAAGATAATTCTGGTTTTTGGACTATTCTTTTTTTTATGGACCTTTGTGGACTTTTTGGATTCCTTTTTTTTTTTTTTTAGAAAAAGACAAGTTAGAGAGATGAGAGGAAGAGGGAGAGAGGAAGATTAATGGCGATGGACTTTTAAAAAAACAAATTGAGCTAGATTCAAGACCCAAGATGGATCTAAAATAAGTTTAAAGAATGGAACTTGGAGAATAAACCAGGAAATTTGAGAAAATCTTGAGAAAGATTTGGTAAAAGCACTGGAGGTTTTCTGATCTTTCCTTTTGTTCCTGTTTTGCTTTTTAAGTTTCGGCTGGACTTGGCAGAGTCTCTTCCCCCTCCTCCCCCTCCTTTGTCATTGATGATAACAATGGCGGTGGAGGTTTGACTCTTCCTTTTTTTTTAGAGTCTCAGTGGTGGAGGCTTGATTCCCCTACTATTTGGAGACTTACCTGCCTCAGTGAGTTTTGAGGGGGCCCTTGATATTGAGGTTATCATTGCTCTGGTGGAAGGAGCAGGCTCTCCCTTGCCATCTTGAAGAGTTGCTTACCCTTGGCAGAGTCTTGAGCCCCCATCAGCAACAGTTTTGGCTCAGTGGAGGAGGAGGAGAAGGAGGAGGCTCGACCCTTTCCATCCCTTCCCATCCCTTTGGGGAGTTTTCCAGGCCTGTCAGAGCACATTGGTGTAGTGGGGGAGGCTTGATCCCTCCTGCTTTAATGGAGAATTATTTGGCCCCAGCAGAGCCTGGAGTCCCCACTGGTACTGAGATCGATGTGGTGGGGGAGGTACGATTCCCCTTGCCTTCCTGAAGAATCATTTGGCCCTGGCTTGAAGCCCCACTGGTACGGAGATTGATGTGCTGGTGGAGGTAGATCCCTCCCGCCCCCCAGAAGAGTCAGCTGGTCCTGGTGGAGTTTTGAGACCTTACCAGGTATGGTTATTGGGGCAGTGGTGGAGGTTGATCCCTCCCATCATTTTGGGGAATTGTTTGGCCCAGCGGAGCCTTGAGGTCTCTCCGGTGGTGGTGTTAGCGAGGCAGTTGAAGTCCAATCACTTTTGCTGTTTTGGAATTATCCGGCATTTTATCAAACTTTATTAAATTGGCAGGACTTTAGATATATTTAACAATATTTTATTGGATATTTACTTTTTATGAAAATTAAAAGAGGGTGAAATTATTGAAAATTTAATTTAAAATTTAAAATTTGGGAAATTTGAGAAACTTAAATTTGAATATTGATTGTATATTAATTTGTGGTTGTTGTTGTTATATTATTGTTATATTTGAATTTGGGACTTTTGGGGAATTTTTTTTGAAAATTTGAGAAAAAAATTGAGAAATTTGAAATTTGAGTAATTTAAGAAATTTGAATTAGAATATTGATTTTATGTTAATTTGTGTTTGATATGGTGATTTAAAGTTAGAAATTTAGAATTTGAAATTTGAAAAAAATAAGAAATTTGAAACTTGAAACTTGAAAATAGAAGAAATTTAAAATTGAGTATTGATTGTATATTAATTAGTAGTTGTTATTGTTATATTTCAATTTGGGACTTTGGGGAAAATTTTTTTTGAAAATTTGAGGAAAATTTGAGAAATTTTAAATTGAGAAATTTAAGAAATTTTAATTAGAATATTGATTTTATGTTAATTTGTGTTTGATATTGTGATTTAAGGTTAGAAATATGAAATTTGAAATTTGAAATTTTTTAAAGAAATTTGAAATTTGGGAAATTGAAGAAAATTAAATTTGAATATTGATTTTATATTAATTTGTAGTGGTTTTTGTTATATTTCAATTTGGGACTTTTGGGAAAAACTTTTTTTTGAAATTTTGAGAAAAATTTGAGAAATTTCAAATTTGAGAAATTTAAGAAATTTTAATTAGAATATTGATTTCATGTTAATTTGTGTTTGATACTGTGATTTAAGGTTAGAAATTTGGAATTTGAAATTTGAATTTTTTGTAAAAATTTGGAAAAATTGACTGAAATTGAAATTTTATATTATATATTGATTGTATTTTAATATAGGTTTTATATTGTTGTATTAGATTTGAAAATTTTTAACATTATTATTTGAAATTTGAGTAATTTGAAGAATTTGAAGGAAAGATTGGGGTTATTTATATTTGTCTTGAAGGCTTTTTAAATTGTAATATATTAACCCGGGTTTTATATTTTTTAATATTGTTTTTGTTATATTGTTGTTATTGAAGTTATAATTTGAAATTTGAAAATTGAATTTGAGAAATTTAGAATTTGATTATACAACCTATATTTGTTTATTAATAGAAGCAGGTTAATATAAAAGAAAGGGAAGAGAAATGGCCTCAGGAAAGAAACTTACTCATACTGAAATCCAGATGACAACTCAAAGAAGAGCATCAATAGATGCACCAAAAC